GGAAAAGAAAGAGAAAGGGGATCTCGACCTCGTGGATTTAGCGGTGGAAACGGGGCAGGCGCGAAACGATCAATTACGTAACTCGATAAAACTGGGTCACGTGTCAAAGTGCGGAGCCATCCCCAAGGTGTCCAACTTTTTGGTATAAGCTCGTAAATTACCAGTCAGCTAGCTGCTGCTACCCCCACGGCTTTAAATAGAACGTTGGCAGAGGCTTCTGTCCAACTATCTCCCCCTCCTACATCCCTCTCACTCTTTCCGTCTCTCTCAATCGCGTCCTTCCTTCCTTCGATTCCTTGCCCCTTTATCCCTCATCCAGGGGGGCGGAGGGAAGCTCTTCTTGTTCCTTTATCACGTAGATCGCTCTACGTTTCGACGAGCACGGAGGAGGGCAAAGTTAGCCGGACACGTAAGTCGCCGGTCGTTAGTCGCCGACGACGATAGCTCGTTGAGCCGTCCAGAAGGAGAAAACAAGAGAAACGAGAGGGAGACTGAGAATGAGAGTCTTCGAGAACGGGTTGGAGAGGGTCGAGGAGACGTGGAAGGAGGTGGCGAAGAGAAACAGAGAAGAAAAGAGAATACCTCTGTAGACCTATTCCAGCGAGAACCGAAAAGAGACGGAAAGAGACACAAAGTGTGTTCTGTTTGCTAGCTAGACGAAGAGGAAACGATGGAGAAGTAGAGAGGGTAGAAGAGAGTGAGAGAGAGACAGAGAAAGAGAACGTGACGGCAGGAAAGCTAAGACAATCAATAAGATCGCCCGGTCTGAAGGAGCTCGTGCTCGGATTCGTCGAGTTGCCTCGGGTACTTCCTGCCAGGGACCACGAGACTCCGCGTTTAACAGCTAAGTCGTAGTCTATCGTCGTTAAACGCAACGGTCCCGAATTAGGATCCCCTCGAGGAAATGAACGAGCACGGAATTGAAGTCGGACGACTAGACGTGCACGTCTCTCTTGCAAGAGAAACGATATAGGTTTGGGAGCCGGAAGGTATCGAAGGGCAGAGAAAGGGAATTAAGAAGGGCACCTGGTGAGATTTCATCGAGAAAGATCGACGAGATATCGGAATGGGTACCAGAGAGAGACACTAGACAAGAGGAGGGGTTGGAAAAGAAGAGGATACTCTCCTCGAGGGGTCGATACCTACTCTAGTCAGCAGCGATCGGATAGGTCAGGATAGACGGGGGGGATAGGCAAGGATAGTAGAAGGTGGTGTATATATATATATAAGGTACCAACCACTAAATTCCAACGATCAGTTGCCGTCGTCGTTGTCTATGCGGTGAAAATTACGATCTAAGATCCGCCACGGCGATTGCTCCCCAGAGCTACGGTTTTGTCCTTCGAACGGGGGATCGCCATCGGGGCTGTGATCGATATAGGGACGAGTCGAAACATCGCGAAATGGTACCCCGTTTTGTCTATGTTTCACCCAGAAGGGGACGAAAAATCGTGAAGGGCTGGTCACCCTTGCACCCGTGACGGAAGTGGAAATGGTACGAAATAGAGGTGACGGAATCGCCGCTCTGGCGGATATCGCCGGAACTACGAATTATCCCCCATCGGGGCTTACCCGCCAGGGTGCACTTCTTTCGGGGGAGAGGGGGTGTTTCGACAGAGGGCTGTGCATAAGCTCGCCGGAGAGTCCTGGAACGTTCGAACTGGGCCGCCGCGTACCAGTCGATAAGGAAGACAACCTGTTTAACAATGGTTTCCGGACAGGAAATATAGTTCTTCGTCGGACATAGCTGTACCGCGATAACCACCCCGAGTTTGACATATAAGAGGAGGAAGGGACGATCAATTTCATCCCCTATATAGGAAGATTTCTTAAGCCTCGTGGAATTAACGAAGGATCAATGATACCTCGTTTCTATTCGATCTGATTTTTTCGTTTCATTCGCACACGTTCAATGGCTCGCAGGGAGGAAACAAACAACCCGAATACCACTTTACGATAAGCATCGCGTAAAGCTGGTTTCTCAACGAAACTTAAGCTCTACAGGCCATAGTACCAAGGGGATCGTAAAACTTTACGCAAGACGTTTTCAAACTGCAACGAAAGCTCCGATCGGTACGGGAATTCGTGTACAGTATCGATGTCCACGAAATTCTCTGTTCACCCTTCGTTCTTGCTCCTTTATATTTTCTCTTCGAACACACCTCTGGCAGGTGAATATTTTCGTGAAAAATAACGCGGACACACGGGACGCGTGCATAACGTTGAAACATTTCGAAAACGCATCGAATCGTAAAATTCTAGCGGGTCGAGAGAGAGGAGGGGTGGTTCCAAGATCGAAACGGCCTGTCCTACTTTCAGTAAAAGCATTATACGCGGACCTGCATGCGTGCGGATTCGAAGCAAAATATTTTTTTTCTCTCTCCACAGCCTCTCTCATCCACTATACCAAGAGACGCTACTAGAGAACGAGAATAGCTCGTAGCGTTTCGCGGGAGCGCAACCCCCAGCAACCGAAAACTTTTCTCGATTGTTCCCGTCCCCGGGCAAGGTTGTAATGGCCACGTGTACCACGACAGTTTGCTTCTAATCGCCTGTCGTCTGGATCAACCACGATTCAAGCGGTGGAAACAAATACAGTGAGAGTCAAAACTAAGTATACACTTTACAAGGGTGAGATTCGTGTAATATTTCTGCAGCATCCTAGTCCTGTAAGATCACGGCAGTGATACAGTTTGATATGATGTTCTTAACATTTTCAGAAAGAATGGGCAGCCAAAATATTTGAGAAAAAGAAATTCGAAGATATAACCAGAAATTTTTGTAAGTATAGTTAAATGTAGTGAATCTACTATTATGGTCCTGGTGGAGGACAATTGATTTTTATTCATGGTATCATGGAAAAATTTGGATGTTTAAATATTTTAAAATCGAATTCAGATGAAAGTGCATTCATGGGTCTTTTAGTGAGATCGCGACAAAAATATACAGCAAAGGAAATTGTTTGCTGGAAACACTTACAACCAGTTAAGTCCTCTCATCTCTCAATCTAATACAGCATCTATGTGAAATGTTAGATTATAAATTAAGAGAAATAAATATAAATGAAATATACTCCCAAGTGTATACTCACTTTTGACTCTCACTGTATACACACGTGTTGGAAAATGTTTCGTAAAAGAATTGAACGCGTCTCTTATGCCAGCCAGCCGCGTTAAATTCCGTGTAACTAGGCCTGTGCCATATGCATACCGCGTGCATATATTCAATTCTGGAAACGAGGAAAGAGGCGAAGTCGCTCCGACGAACGATAAAGAGGGCGGTGGCGTTTAACGACGACAGAACAGCGAGGAGAATGCGTGACGTCGAATGTTCAGCGGGGAAGGAAAAACTATTTAAAAAAAAAAAGGAGGCGAAAGACGAAGGAAAAATGAGAAAAATTATACGACCGCGATGACTCTCCCCGTGTACAACGGATTAAAACGAACAAAAAAAAAAGTTTCAAGGAGGTCTTTCCCCAGTAATGGATCCTTTATTTCTCGCGAAAGTTTAACCGGATTCCCCGACTTTGAGTGACTCAACCTTGATACGATAAAAACGGATCCTTTTACCACCACCACCCCTAAAACCTCTATTTTTTAACACAGCTGAAAAGGAAGATAAAAAGTAATTGTGCAGTCTAATTGAATCCGTTTTGTCATGAATGCTTCTGATCTTTCGTCACGAATCCAGCGAAAAGGTGTTTCCATCGGCTGATTTTCGTTTCACGACACCCTGTACACATTTAATATGATCCTTACCCTTCCCGTCGCGATGTTAAAAATTCATTAATACGAGACACCAGTAATTGTTTCCCCTGTCGTAGAAGTTAACGCAAACTATGTAGACTTAAAGGTGGACGAATTAAAGAGCGCGCGCGCGCTCGTGGCACGGATTCTGCCGATGTTACGCGCGGAATTCCGAATTCTTCGTTGTCCCGAAGCAAAAGAAAATCGAGGATAAGTTGTAACCAACGAAACAGTTCGTTAAAGAAGTTCCAACGCGTTAAATGGCGGCGGCTCGTGATGTATGTATATTGGAAACTTTAAAATCACCCCCCGGCATTCACTGTCGTGCTATCGGATGCGGCAAACTTCTGTTTTGTTTTATCGTCTTAATTAATCTACCGGTTCATAAAACTAGGTACACCGGTCACGGGATATCCGATCGCCGGAAACTTTTATTAGAGTACTTTCTCAGCATTGCGAGGTAGTTAATTCGAGTTGAAAATCATTCCACCCCTCCGAATCGTTGTAAGTACATTTCCAATACAGTAAATCCTCGATGAGCGTTCGAAGGCTTCCCGGCAGTGAACATTAAATATATCATAAACTAATGATCGCATGCAGCTGAAACAAATATCATTGGCTTTAGAATACCAAGTTCTATGACTGTGCTAAACCTTATTAAAAAGTCAACGTTACACCTGGGAATCTCTCCTTGGCAAAGCCGAGGAGCCTTCGAACACTGATCGAGGATCTACCGCGTTGGAAAGGCCGAATAAAACTAGAACAAACCTCCGTGTACCACTTTCGGAGAATAATAAAAAAAAATGAAGAAAATAGTTCGTAGGTTCGTGCGTGCAGAGCCATTTACGGAACTCGTTTCGTCGTACAAAGAACCGATCCCCCGCTGGGGCAAACGATGTCCCATTTTTTCGCGAATCAACGCACCACCGTCAACAATAACCAAAATCGGATTGCCTGTTCCCGTTCCGATCGACGACAAATAAAGCCGTTCAAGTATCGTATTCACGAAATCGCCAAAAACAGGAATATAAAGTCTGTAACTTCGTGAACGTCTCGATCGCTACCCCAGCCAGAGAGCATCGAGGATCACTCGAGTGAGTGTTACACGACCGGCCGTGTTTCCCCTCGGCGCATAAACAGCAAAGAAAATGATTGGCTCGAAAGAAGAAGCCAGCACGGATAAATAATTCACAGTGGGGATCGGCCGGTTCGGTCCCGTCAAAGGTAAAAGCAAGTAATGGCGGAAGTACTTACCGGAGATGGGATCCGCGCCGTCGAGCTTCCTGTCTAAGGAGACGGTCTCGTGAACAGCTTCCTTGCTCGTCCTTGGACGACATCCAGGGTTCGATTCGCCGGTACCGATCCCGTCCTGGCTCTTGTGATCGTTCCTCAGATGATCGTTCCTCTCGTTCAACTTGGTACCACCGCCAATCCCGATCTTCGACGATGTTTTGCTAACGATACCGCCGCCAGTGTTCCCGTTCAGATTGGCGTTCACGTTCACCTTACCGTTCCCGTTCGCTGACACGTGATTGTCGGCCTGGTTAAAAAGACGTGTGAACCACTCTGGTAGTAATAAAAAAAACACGAGGAGTTGCGTTTAACGCGTCGACAGAGGTGGGAAAATGTGAGTTGTACGAATTTCCCTTGGATGTCAGTCAACGTCCCATTAAAATTCATGGGTGTATAACTACCCTGGCGATAGGAGCAGGACAATTTGAATAATTGTACTTTTTCGTCCTCCAATCAACGCGTTAAACAGCGAAATCCATACAGCCATTTGAATTCCCAGGTTGGCAAAGGAGTTCGAGTCGACTGCCCGCCAACCAGTGAAGCAGGTTGCGTCTCGTGCAGCCGTCAAATCGTCGCTCGAGTTCCTAACTGTTCTAACTACTATTTTTGAAAAATTTAGTTAATCAAAATTTAGTTATTCTTCTAAGTCCTAACTCCGAAACTTTAAAAGTATTTTTTCTCTGAACTAGTCAAGACAATGATCGACGGAATACTGTATCTCCAAATACTTGGAGCAATTAAAACTTTATGTTGGCAATAAGATAAAATTTTGTAAAATATTGTAATAAACAGCTATTCAGTAGACGATATTATAATGCATTTGATTGATTCGCTACTTTCCTACTTCTATAATATTAAACTTCCTAAACATGAAACTCAGTTTTCGCAGTTTAGAAACTACTGGTGATAGAACACGGAAGAACTAGAGCGACGAAATAGAAAAATCGAATGTATCAATTTTTCGTTGGTCCCGTCCCATAAACAACTCGTGGTGTAATGAATTTAATCCGAACTCACCGTGGTGGTCATGCAGGTCGAGGAGGACGAACGAACGACGACGATACGATTCTGATTGTGATCATTGGAGGCGATCGTGGACACGGCGGCGTGATTGGCGAGCCCGTGGGTCTCGTGGCCGTTATTGGACCCGGCATTGGAATTGGTGTTGCTGGTAGTGACATTGCCGCCGAGGGAAGTCTGTCTGATCACCAGAACGCTGCCAGCCGGCTCCAGCACTACCACTTGCCTCATCCTCACCGTTGCCCGTCCGTGCCCCCCTTTCGTCCCGGGTCGTTCTTCTGCTTGCGCTCCCCCGCCTGTTACTGACGAAGAAGGAGAACGTGCACAGGTTGCACGAGTCGGCCCCCTTGAAAACGATCCTCCTTCTTCGGCTGATCCAAGTATCCGACGGGAAATGCGTTCTCCAGCGCCTCCGCCCCTCGGGTTCTTAAAGCTCCAGCGCGATTGCTGCCACCTGCTCCTCCTGTACACACGTACACCAAGACACCCCCCGATATTAAAGCTGTCGTCTTAAAGGATGATCCTACCCTCCATCCTATTTCGCGGGCACACGGCCTTCTCTCTTTCTCTTTTTCTCTTTCTCTTTCGCTCTTACGAACGTGTCACCGGAACGTGTACCAGGGTGGCTTCTCTCGGAAGGCAAATCGATGAGATTATTTTTCCCCGGGTCGTCTGTGACTGCCCGGCGACGGTCGAGTCTTTTCAAGAGACCGTTTTCACGACGATTCGAACGATTGATTTTAAGCTTTCCATCCCTGACGAGCTGTAAACATTCCACGGGACCGAGCCCGAGAAAGGCGTTGGAGAAGCCCAGGATGACGAAGGTACATTTTTCACGGAAGAAGGCACCCATATCCCCTCCCCGATGAGGATATTTACTTTGGAGGAGTTTACAAGGCGAATGAAGCTGCTCGTTAATCTTTGATTTTTCCCAAGGGGACTGACTACTTGTAGCCTACGTCGGATTTATACATCGTGCGAAATACTCAATCTCCTTGTCCCGTTAAAAGCCGAACAGATAAACGAGGTTTACGAGCGTTCGAGTCGAATCGTCAGCGAGAATCGAATGAAGTCTTGTTAGTGGAGGTTGGACAAATGCAGGGACGAGTCTTGTGCTCGTCCCTGGATCTGATAACGAAACGATTAAAGGAACTAGTACGGGTGGGCGAGGAGATTCGCAAAAATTCACGGACACGAAATACATTAATGGCAAGTTGTCACGGGGGATTTCGTGGAGTCATGATTGATTGCCCACGAAAATAAGAAACGAATGTACGCGGGGCTAGAACCATTTGAAACCGCTCCAAATAACGGTCGCGATATTAAGTTCTTGGATCGGTAGCACGCGAGGGTGGTGCTGCGAGTGTCCAAAAATTGAGTCTGGAAGGCGTGTATCTTTGCGGAAATTAATCATCGTATGCGCGAGAAATCTTGTTTCCCGGTGATTTTAATCTACGAAGCTGATTAATTGGAAAATGATTAGGTCACGTTTAAGTGTCCTGGCCACGGATACCGAAATAATCGTTGGGATTAAAACGCGCGCGTCAAGTCCGTCCAAGTAGCTGCGATTCTATTTTTCATGACTGTCATAGAAGAGGAACTTTCCAATGTTGATTCTAGTTGGCAGCCATTATCATACACGCGAGTCTCTCTTGGCAGCCATTATCATAGATTTAGCCAGTAAAACTGAGTCAAAGTCTACCCGCGAGCGATTCCATCGCGGACGCACTCAGAGAGACACGAAATTATTCGGAGTAACAATCGGAAGGAGGAAGCGTTGCCAGTTTTTCGATGAAATCGGAAACCCGACGAAGGACATTTTCCGAACTGACTACCACGGAAATTTCTACTCCCATTCCACAACTCGAATGGAACCGAAAAAACAAACAACACGAGCATATAAAAGCGCACTGAATTCAATTTAACCCTTTTAGTACCTTACGATTTTTCTGTGTACCATCTAGAAATACCTTGGAAAATATGCATTGTTGACGATATTTATTCAAATTAACGTATTTTTTCTAAAAACATACATAATTTGTATTGCATACGAATGCGGTGCCGATATTCCGGCGTTTGGGTTCTAGAAGGGTTAATTAATTCAACACGAAAGAAACCGTTTTTCTTTCAGTAAACTTAGTTTATTTAGGATTGTAAGATACCTTAATCGTTGTCGACGTGTTTCAGCTGTCCTACATTTTCGTATGTTCACCGATCGATAACGAGCCTCGTGTGCTCCTGTCCCGAGACAAATGTTCCTTAATGGTATCGATTAGCCCCCGACAGCACACTTTCGATTGTTTCGAACGACGAATCCCTAACGACTTTCGAAGTCGCATCCGAACTTCCGGCTCTGCGGAGAACGTTGTCGGTCCTCCGGGGGAATCGTGAGGGAAAAGCCGATAATTCACAAAGGTGTACAATCCACTTGGAATTTCGACGTTCCTCCCACGCCTCTTCACTCCCTACTACCACCTCCTTGTACACCATGGACGGTTCACCTCGGACACAGTTACTCTCTCTCCCTTTGAGGGAAAACAAACCTAATTTCTCAGGCGCGGAGCAGTAGCGTCATAAAACTGATTTCGTGGCAAAAATGTTACATCCCAAAAATCCGTAGAACTAAACACACGTTTCTCCACCGTTCATCGACTCGAGTTTCCGAACACACCAAGGATCCCACGAATTGAATGAAAATTAATTGCGTCCGTTGATACGCCCGGCCGGAGATTAAACTATGAATGAAACAACGCCGAGGGATTGGATCACGCTTCCTGCAAAATTTCCCTTCTAGCTCGAAAGTCCATAACGACTAAGTACTTGAGAGAAGAGGAGAGACTTGTCTACTCGGAATTTCGTCATTCTCCACGCCCTTCCGGCCTCTTTCTCACCCCCCTCCTTTCTCTCTCCGTCTCTCTGTTTTACGCTCAGTCTATCTTTCCTGCACTTCAAACTTTGGAATTCACCTTGGAGACAGTTACCCTCTTGCCCTCCACTTTGAAAGCGGAGACCTAATTCCCGCGCGGCAGTTCAACCCTCGTAAAGTACGATCCCGTCGTGGAAACGTTACCACGGACACCAAGTTTCAATATTCCACAACAATCGTTTTTGTTAATAAAATATTGCAAGTAACCCACGCGACTTCTCTACAGTAAATCCTCGATGAGTGTTCGAAGACTCCTCGGCAGTGACAAGGAGAGGACCCCAGGTGTAACGCTGACTTTTCAATGAGGTTTAGCAGAGTGATAGAGTTTAGAATTCTAAATCCAATAATATTTTTCTCAGTTGCATACGACCATTAGTTTATGAATTATTTAATGTTCAGTGCCGAGGAGCCTTCGAAGACTCATCGATTATTTACTGTATTACGGAAGTTGATTCGAAAGTGAAGACGATCCCTGCGAGAAGAGGTGTGCAGAAAGTTTTTAGAAAAATAACAAAATTTTCGAAACACGAAAGGTATTCAATATCACATAAACATTTGAAGTTATTATTTACTTTGTTTGATGAAGGAATGATCAAGCTTCTTTGTTGCCCGAATAAAAAGACGTTTCTGTCGAGTACAAGGGACACGTGGCGGCGGACAAAAGGACACAATCTACGTGGAATTTCGTCATGTTTTCTCGATCGTTCAACCATCCCTCGCGCCCTTCCGGTCTGTTACCCTACAACCCCTCGTGGCTTCACCCTCCTAATATCTCTCCCTCTCTCTCTCGCTCGCTTTAACTTCGGGATTCACCTTGGAACCGAGGCGACCTGCCTTTGAGACGCACTGACCCAGTTTCCCTCCCTTCCTCTCACCCCCTCCCATGAATCGAGAAATTCGAGACATGAATTTTGGAAACAGACGGCTACGATAGCTTCTAACCAGTTTACGAGCACTTCCTGTGGTATCGCTACCAGGCCTCGAATAACACATGAAATCGACAACAATTTCTTTTTTTATTCTACGACAAATAAACGGAGCATTACTATACATGCTGGTCGTAAGGTCGGAGATACCGTGAATATTGATACTCGAGGCGAGAAAAGCGTTCCTTTTCGACGATTCGGCAAAACACCACCGTTCGATTAACGACACCGCGGTTTACACTACCGTCCAGAACTACACGGACACTTATACGATGATACGAGTCAGCGAAATATTCTACAAGTTCTTATAAATTGTATACGAAGTATTTTTCTTGATTTTTAGAACGTTACCTTACCAAAAGTAGATACAGTAAACTGTTACAGAAGAATGTAACTGATATTTATCAACAAATAATATCGATAAAAGTACAGTAATGTCTCGATGAGTACGACATACATATGGCAATCATACGACGCGAGGTATACACACTAATTTCTCGATTTTAAATTGAATTTCACGGGCTGGACGAGGATCGGAATGCGGAAGACCCCCGTCCTCCCTACACCGCGACAATAACACAGGTGTACCTCGTGCCAAGTGTCAGCAAAAGCCGTTGGCTTCACGTGATCTTAAACAACGAGTATCAGTCATGAAAAAGAAAAAAAAACGTGTCAATAAGACGAGTCTTGCGTTTGGTTAGAAGTAGTTTAAGTGTACCAGTGCAAGCCATTGTAGAACTCGAGTACTAAAGAAGAATTAATGATAGGAGAGTCTGGTACTATTGTCAAATTCAATTTGGTAAATACCAGCACAAATGATAGTCTTATTTATTTAAAAAGTAGTATTATTCTAATGTCGACTTCTGCTAAGGGAAACAGTGGCATAAAGGAAGGGCCTTCTATGCCAAATTAACATTCGATTTTATCATTTATTTCAGTACTTGAAATAAATTTACTTTAAATTTCGACAATAAACAGTCATTCGGAAGATCCAACTAAACCGCGTTGCGCAACACTGTTCACAATTCTGCTAAACAAGACACACTTTCGCACGCAAATACCGCGTTACACACACCTGCAACACCATTCGAGAGCGAGATGTCTCTGTGTATGTGCGGAATGTCGATCAATTCCACGTGTCGCGTGTCAGTTGATATATAACAGCTGACGAGTTGTCGTTGAATCGAGTGCACCGTCAACAGAAACTGAACGGGATTAGTTTCGTGAAATTTCCGCGGGTAAGTTTACAGGTGAGAAGTCACCGTGATTTTCCCGGCGAACTATTCGCCGAGATTTTATTCGAGGAGAGAAAGGGGGGGGGGAAGAACGAAAAAGACGGATAAGAGGGTAAACTTATGGACGAACGGTCGAACTGGGATTTCGTCGAGGCAGAAACCAACGGGAAAGGTTATTTTTCGGCATGGAAAACAAGTGAACTCCCACGCGTACACCGAAATCACCGGGCAAAGTGCGTTTCTTTTCCTCTCTCTATCTCGGTCCGGAGGACGACACTACGGTTCGGGCTTTATATTCCTTCCATTATTTGTTTATTCTACCTTCGAGAGACGCCGACCCAGTTTCCTTACCGACGTGAACGTACCACGCAAACAG